TATGTACACAACCCTGTATATGACACCCGTACTATGTACACAGCCCCGTAGGTAACATTCTTGCTTACCCACAGCACCATTGTGGATCCGGGCTGATAGGCTGCCAATCAGCTCCTTACAGACCTCTGGAAGGACCCGGGGTCCCACCACAGAGGAGATCTCCACACACTGGTACCTCTGGAATTTGTCCCACTTGCTTTGGGAGCAGGTATCCCGCAGGGATTCGATTTTTGGAATCAAGCCCATCTGTCGTAAACAATAGTTAGAAATAATTACAAAGTCACAATAGGTGTCCAGTTCTTGTAAGCTCCTTAAACTGGTCTGTTTGATAAATGCTTCAGCAAAGAACTGAACTAGAGATGGCCAAATGAAGCTTGAACGCACCATTTTCTGTATTTTCTGATTCCACTAGATGGTGCTCTTGGTTTACTTTGGGGCACAATTTGAGCCCTTTTTTCTTCTAGTGGTGCCAGAAAATACAGAAAATGGTTCACAAAGTCTTAATCTTGTATATAAGTGATAGAAAGTAGAACATAGTAAGAAGTAACAATGTAATATTAGTGATGATACTACAATCTCACAGAGTCAACGAGGATGTGTGAGCTGGAACGATCGGCCTGCTTGGTCTGCTTCTGGAAGGTGATGTCCACGTGATACACCCCTCCATCACCCAGGCAGAGCGCCGGCTCTAAGAGGGCCACCCTGGAAGACACACACTGATGTGACTGAGAGCATCAGTGAAGCACACGTCCACCTCTATCAGGCCATTACATCACAACAATGTTCCTGAGGAGTGTTCATACGTGGTCTCACACCTCTGAGAGCCAGGTAGACTCAGTGTCGCCTCCATGTGGTGGTGGGCACAGTTCCCAGTGCTTGGTAATCTTGCGGCGGTGATCTTCAAGCCTGCCTTCCAGTCTTCTGTGGACTACAAAACACAGCTTACATGCATCACGAGTGGCTGGCAAACACTCGTGTTCCTCTGGCTTGCAGCATTTACCTCAGGCTCGTAGCGGATCACCAGGTAGTAGTGGAGAGCCGCAGGCAGGTTGTCCACCGTGAACCTGAGCTCAGTGCTATCCTGCACGTGGACAAACCCCTGACCAGTCCAGGTGCTGGGCTGGTCCACCATGCGTTCATGAGGTGTGATTTGGTGCTCCAAGCCTGGCTCCATGGGGATGGAGTTCTGGAAGCACGGTGTTGGGGTTACAGGGGGTTACCGGAAATGCAGGGATTTAAAACTCCACGCCGTTGCTGGAATATATCAGAGACAGATTGCCAGTACTTGCTCCTGTCTCTTCTGCCTGGTCTTCTCCCTTAGGATGAACCTCCCATTGCTGAAGGTGAAGTCGTAGCCTTGGTCTGTGAAGTACTTCTCACATGTAGGCAGGCTGGTGGACTGTGACAGGGGACCAGGACAGGCAGCGGCGTGAGAGAGCTCAGGGGAACCACACGGGGTAGGAAAGCTGAAGTGGACGGCTCTGGACATGGGGAAGCTCCACCTAACATTTCTCTCTGAAGCAGCGTACCTGCAGCATTCCTTCCTCTCCAAAGCTTCTCCATAAATGTCTCAACATTACAAGCAATGAAAATGTATTTTAAAAATAACTGTTTTTCTGAAAAAATATTTTCCTTTCGCATCTTATTTCATCTCGTCTCATTTCCTTGCTTATAGCTCAGCTGGCCTCCTCACTTCACCGAGGTCCGGCACATGCAGGTCACCATGGGGGTGTATCAGGAGCACACAGAGTAAACTACCTCGCTTAATGCGCTCGGCTGCTGGGGGGCGGCGCCCTCCGCCTCGTACAGGTACACGTCCAGAGGAGGCAGGAAGTGGCCGGGCGCGGGGTCCTTGCATCTGCGGCCCACCATGTTGGGACGACACTGACACTGCCCGTTCACGGGGCTGCACCTGGGGACCGGGGACACAAAAACGCCAAATTAACAACCGAGGCATGCTGGGATATTTAGTCATTATGGAAAGAGCCCTTTGCCTTATATAGTTATGGAATAAATAGATGTGAATTTTAGCTTTTTCTAGTTATGCAGAGAGAAGCTTCCAGAAACTTACGTGGCAAGCAGCGCCCCGCCGACATCACAGTCGCACGGAGAGCAGGCATACACGGTATTTCCCAGACCCCAGTAACCTGGCTGAATACACACACGTGTCACACGGGAGCGGCGCTACATGTGACCATATCCTTGTGGTTGTCATGGAAATGGGTTTTACCACGCAGCAGTCGCACAGGGGCCCCGTGGCGAAGGGACGGCACTGGCAATGACCCGTCACAGGGTCGCAGGGGTCAGGGGTCAGCACGCTGCCTAAGCGGTCACACGCGCAGACTGAGGGGAGCCACCGGATATGCGTTAGTGGGGAGAACTCAGTGTGAAGCAGCGACTTTGTATAAAAGACACAGAGGCCTTACTCTGGCAGCCTTCCGGGTCGTCCCGGCTTAGCCCGTAGAAGCCGTGTTTACACCTGTCACATCTCTCCCCCTCCACGTTTGCCTTGCAGACGCATCGTCCAGTGTGGGGGTCACAAAGCCCCCCATCTAGTGACCCGGCAGGTTCACAGTCACAGGCTGGGGGCAGAAGATGGAGGTCACATGTTGTGCCCCAAAGGCTGGGCACTGTGACTGCAAGCATGACTCACGGATGCATGCGTCGGGGTGGTCATGGGATAGCCGAGGGTCCCGGTAATAGAAGGGCCTGCACAGCTCGCAGTGGACTCCAGCTCGATTATTCTGACAGTCGTCACAGACTCCGCCGCTGAGCCCCCTGCTGGCCAGGTACTGCCACGCGTCAAAGTGACACCTCTCCGAATGTCCACTGCATTTACACTCTGCCAGTACAGGAAGGCATCAGTTTTTATACTGTATTTCTTAACTCCCACTATTACACAAAACTGGCTGCAGCTGGGATCTGTATGAGCATCCCACAACACCGACACCACAGAGATGACCACTTTTGTTTCGTTTGCCTGCAGTGCACGGTAGGAAATTCTTACTTCTGCAGCCATGGGGGTCAGATGGCCTCCAGGGGGCGTCATTATAAAAGTCCAAGCAGCGCTCGCAGTTCTCTCCTTCTGTGTTGTGCTGGCAGACACAGCGTCCATGGACCTGAAAGAGGCATTACAGATGTGAGACTGCCTTAGCAGCGTTGACAGCCAGCAGTGAGCTGTCCTTATCACTGCATGTCCGTCACCACGCCCCCATTATCTTCTATATTCATACAAACGCAAGCATTGCTGATGTTTCACAGCTGGCATCTATCCCTCACTATTCACTTACTAACCCTAGCCCTACCCAGGTATCAGCAGAATGCTGTTTCCCACCATTCCAGCCTCTTGGAAGACGTCCCCGCGGCTGCCGTCCACTGGCATGCACTCCCTGGCGTGTCCGTTGCAGAAGCAGCTGCCCCGCACCACCATCTCATACAACGCGTAGTAGTATTTGTCCTGGGGGTTTCTCCTGTGTCGGCTCAGCAGCGTGTCACCAAGCGTCAGGAGGCGTGTAAAGTTCACCCGGAGATTTGTCATGGTGATGAGCTCTGAGGAGGAGCGATGGGTGAGGGGACACCAAGATTCAAGATTGGTTTATTGTCAATACAACAATATACAGAGTATACAGTGTATTGAAATGTTGTTCCACACAGGTTCTCCATGGTGCATTATAAAGATATAAAATATACACTCACCTAAAGGATTATTAGGAACA